TGGTGGTAACAAGACCTCCCCAAGTGCAGCTGATCAGCTCATGTACAAGAAGGGATCTGGTTACAATTGTGGTTTCTAGGACAGGAAAAGCTCGGTGTAATTGGAGCTTCCATTGGGAGCCATGTATAATCTAAGAGTCAAGAACTTGCAATATAGTGGTTTCTTTGGCAGTCAGAAAAATTGCTCCGTATCCTCATTTTCTGGATCTTCTACAACAACCTCATCATTATCGAACGATGAGGAAACGTAATACATTAAATGATGGACAGAAATAACCAATTTTTACAGAAGCTGGCTTGTGTCACTATGTATATATATAGTAAGCTGGGATCGCTCTGATCTCCTCATGTTCCTCAAATGAGAATATTTCAGTTATAGAGGTTTTGTTATTCATTTTTTACACCAAAGAAAACATGGACAAAATATGCATTTTGAAATTTAGAAACCAAAATCTACACAGTGACAGGAACAGACTTTCCACAAACCCACTCTATATTCTCCAGCTCCCATCAAGAACCAACCCTTGCATGTGACTCCCCCCCCGCTATTGCCAGCACACTCACAAAGAAAAATGTGAAGCCCTGTGGAAGAGGAATTGTTCCAATGTGATAGAGAAAACAGTTCGGGTAACAGCAGGGTAACTTGTATGCAAAGAAAAAATCATCTAAGTTTTGGGTTAAAACTGGAAGTTTGGAACCCTTGTCTGGTTTCTTGGCTGTCTGTGTCCTTACTGGCCTTTTGGTCCTGAGAACCTTTGCCTCTAGCTCAGGAAGTGAAGAAGTCCACATTTTTTGGAGTTTTTACAGGAACAAGAAGTTAGGGGAAATGTTTCAATAGGGATAACTGAGAGGAGATCTCAAAGCTTTGGAGAAATCTCCTCTAACTTCCTGTGTCTCTGGTACAGAAAGTAAATGGAATCTCCCCGACAGGCCACAAACATCCCGCAGGGGTCTTGACTGAACCCTGTTCTGTTATTAAAAAAAAAACAATTTTTGGTTTTATATACACTTCAATTCCAACTAAGATCATCAAACACAACTGATATTCAGTACCAATTCACAAAGGTGGGAAAAGATGGCAATCTTACAAGTCTCCAGGGTCTTATGTGCTCTCTAAGATCATTCAATACTTCTCACGGTTTCCCAGCTACTTATGTGTCTATGATATATTTGATCTTACTACAAGATTTTTATTAGGTTCTATTGCATCAAACTGCCTGTTACATGTGCAACACTTTACATTTCCGACACAGAGATATCGCATTGACGTGATCTGGTGAACTTGCAACGTACAGTCTAATGGTGGCCAAACCTACAATGATCTGATGGAATGATTTATTACACAATCAGATAATATCATCAGATTTAGGAATTATCTAAAAGATACATTCTGTCATTAATTGATTTTATTAAAATTATTCTGATTGGTCTATCCATTCTTAAGTGTATGGCACATTGAACAAACTTTTCAATCTTCTGTTCCTATATCCAATTGTGCAGTAAATCTCTCGACATAGACTTATAACCGGCAGAGCTCGAGGATGTGAGATTGGGAACCATGATCTGCAAAAATCTCCCGCTGCTCAGTAGGTATATGAGATTGACTATATAAAACAATGTCCTGGATCTCCAATCGGTCCCACTACCATAGGAGGACTCTGGATGCAGTGGGCAATTCCCGACATCCTTGTGAGGAACTGTTGTATCTGGGAGGGTGTAAGGATCCTTTTGCTGTAGGGTGGCCCATTCTGACAGAGTGTATACTTTGGCCAGCCCTGAAGGCTGATTTGCAGTCTGTACCTCAGATATACATGAACAGGGGGGGGGGGTGCATTGGGATAGGAGAGGGGCCACTTCCAAGTCTTTCTGACTCTGATCCACATCTCCTTGAGGGTGCTCGACAGTAAATCAAGAGAGAGCATCAGAATTGTTATTGAGTTGTCCTGGCTTGTGGTGTATCTTCTAACTAAAGGAAGGCACCCGAGCGGCCCATCTCTGATCTAATGCCCCTGATTTCGCTGAATCTAGGTAGGCTAGGTGATTGTTATCAGTATAGTTTGAGCCCCCATGAGATTTTCTGCAAATTTCTCAGTGGTAGCCCACACAAGGACCAGGAGCTTCCATTTAATGAGCTAAAGTTAAGGGCAGGGGCAGACTGACCATTTGGAAACTCGGGCACTGCCTGAGGGCCTGGGGTCAGTAGGGGGCCCCATGAGATGCCCCTGGTACCTTTTTCATAGGCTTTTTTGAGTTACGGCAAGGACACCGGGCCCCATGATCCCCTATTGCCCGGGGGCCCCATGAGTTGTCAGTCCACCCCTGGTTAAGGGGGTTGCGCTCTGAAGGTCAAAGACTGCAACTCTCATATGAAATTACTCGTTCACATCTGTCCTGTTCTTGTGCTAACACAGCCCCCAAGCCTTGCAGGCTTCCATCTAAGGGCTTCCACCCAGAAGGGGTTAGTATAGTCCCTGTACATCAGGAGAGGGGCTAAAGTCAGTCTTTGTTTCAGAGTATCAAAGGATTATTGTTGTGGTTCACACCATTGAGCTTGGATGGATGGCGAAGGCTTCCCCTTTGCTGTGGTGGCTGTTCACTCAACAACAGGGTAAGGGGGGCTGAAATATGGGGACATTTAGGGATAAACCGCCTGTAGTACCCCACCAGCCCCAGGAAGGAATGCAGTTTAGTAAGTGTCTTTCAGGCATTCCAATTTTGCAGAGCTTGAATCTTAGCAGGGTTAGGAGATACTCCACCATCTTCAACGACATGCCCAATGAATTGGACTTTCTTCTGCATCAATGGCACTTGCTAAGCTTCAAAAGGTTTTAGAAAAGTTAATGGCATTCAAGTAGATCAGGACTGCTCAATGTTGTAATCCCCAGGCAAGGTTCCTTCAGTCTCTGAAAGGTACTGGGGGCATTTGTTAGCCCGAAAGGCATGGGATTAGACACACAGGGGTTTATTTACTAAAGCTGGAGAGTCCAAAATCAGACTCCCTTCTGCATAGAAACCAATCAGCTTCCAGGTTTCATTCATTGCCAAAGCTTCATTGAACAAGCTGAGGTTAGAAGCTGATTGGTTTTCTATGCAGAAGGGAGTCTGATTTTGGACTCTCCAGCTTTAGTAAATAAACCCCATATAGTCTTAGCGGTGTGATGAAAAAAGTATTTTCTTGATCTTGTAACCCTACTGGGACCTGCCAGGTCCAATGTACAGAAATATTAGGCTTGGCCCAAGACCATGAAGAATCCTCTAGTTGAAAATTCAAATTCTATCTTTCTTATGTGACTTGAGCGATATGGTAAAGGTACTGATCTCCATATCTGTTTTATGACTAACAGTTTGACAATAAATTAATAAACCTCTCTGTGCCATGTTGGAGAATATTGGCAGATTCCCCATTGTTCTTAGCTAATAGATCAGCCCAGATTTCAGGCCATTCTCAGATGCGACCTGATCAGCATGTGCCGAAAGCAAATTGAATATTTTAAAACTGGTGATCACAATCCCTTACTTGTCCGGCTCACACCAACACACTGAAGCAGTAATTCTCTGAATAAAACATCCATGTAGGACAATCACTACATCTCTTTTATTAGATATTCAGCCTAATGCAGTTAAAGGAAAGTTTACAGCAATCCTTCTGTTTAAGAAGTAATTAAATCTTCCGTTTCTGATGACAAGCAATATAATTAGCTTTCCACAGTCTAGATGGCCTCATCCAGCCACTTGTGACCTCAAGAAGTTTAATTTAATTCTCGTCTTTGGAGAAAAGTGATTTGAAAAGAAAATCAGAATCTTTTCATTGTTACAGATGTGAACCGAGTGTGCAGACAAGCTGATGTACTGAACTGAAAGATTTCTCTGATTTCAAAGACGAGATGGCTCCAAGCCTAGATCATGCCAATAATCAGAACCAAAGAGTACAAAAGAAGCCATGCCAGGCCCAGATCTGGAGAAGTTCTGTGTAGGAAAATAGAAACCGTGTCAGGCCCAGATCTGGAGATGTCCTGTGTAGGAAAATAGAAACCGTGTCAGGCCCAGATCTGGAGAAGTCCTGTGTAGGAAAATAGAAACCGTGTCAGGCCCAGATCTGGAGAAGTCCTGTGTAGGAAAATAGAAACCGTGTCAGGCCCAGATCTGGAGAAGTCCTGTGTAGGAAAATAGAAACCGTGTCAGGCCCAGATCTGGAGAAGTTCTGTGTAGGAAAATAGAAACCGTGCCAGGCCCAGATCTGGAGAAGTTCTGTGTAGGAAAATAGAAACCGTGTCAGGGCCAGATCTGGAGAAGTTCTGTGTAGGAAAATAGAAACCGTGCCAGGCCCAGATCTGGAGAAGTTCTGTGTAGGAAAATAGAAACCGTGTCAGGCCCAGATCTGGAGAAGACCTGTGTAGGAAAATAGAACCGTGTCAGGCCCAGATCTGGAGAAGTCCTGTGCCAACAGGGCCCATTTCAAACCTTTCAGCCCAGTCCTGGGCCTGTCTGAGAAAAGGCAAAAACCATTACCAGGCCCAGATCTGGAGAGTCCTGTGTAGGAAAATAGAAACCGTGCCAGGCCCAGATCTGGAGTGTGACGAGTGATCGGTAGGAACATAGAAAACCGTGTGGGGGTCAAGGCCCAGATCTGGAGAAGGAGAGTTCTGTGTAGGAAAATAGAAACCGTGTCAGGCCCAGATCTGGAGAAGTCCTGTGTAGGAAAATAGTAAACCGAAGTCTGAAGTTCTGCCAGGTCGGTAGAAGCAGGGAAAACTCTGTGGGCTGCTAGGAGACTGGATACCAAGAAGATACAAATTTCCAGTCCCTAGGTCAGGAAAAGAGCTCCGCTCAAAGAGAAAACTGTGAGATTCCCCCATCACACTTCGGGATAGAAAGGTCTGGAGTCAGTACTGAAGAGTGAGGCCACAGGTGCATCATTTCATTGCTTTCAGCAGTTGGGCCTTGAGTAAAACCCAAAAACCATTACCAAGAGAACATGGAGTTGGCTAGCATTAACTAGGATGAGTGACATGACCCAGGATGGAGTGTGTATGACAGTGATCGGTATGTACAGGAGAGGAGTGTGGAGTTTGGGTATGACAGTGATCGGTATGTACAGGAGAGGAGTGTGGAGGTATGACAGTGATCGGTATGTACAGAGAGAGGAGTGTGGAGGTATGACAGTGATCGGTATGTACAGGAGAGGAGTGTGGGAGTATGACAGTGATCGGTATGTACAGGAGAGGAGTGTGGAGGTATGACAGTGATCGGTATGTACAGGAGAGGAGTGTGGAAGGTATGACAGTGATCAGTATGTACAGGAGAGGAGTGTGGAGAGTATGACAGTGATCGTATGTACAGGAGAGGAGTGTGGAGGGTATGACAGTGATCGGAGAGTATGACAGTGATAAGTATGACAGTGATCGTTATGTACTTGGAGACGGATGTGGACGGTAGACATGATCGGTATGTACAGGAAGGAGTGTGGGAGTTATGTACAGTGATCGACATGTAAAGCAGGAGTGGTGGGTAATGGACAGTGAACGGTATAGTACACTAGGAGAGAGATGTGGAGGTATGACAGAGATTCGGTATGTACAGCGAGGATTGTGGTAAGGTCAACATAGATCAGATTGTACCGGTGCAGCATTGTATGAGGAATAGACAGTGAGCATTTGGAAATGTAAAGGAGCGAGAGTATAGGGAGGTATGACAGTATGATCGGTATGGTAACAGGCTAGTAGAGAGTGGGTATCAGAAATAGATTCGATAAGACCAGGAGGAGGAGTGTGAGAGATGTGGGGGTGGTGGGGAAAAGAAATGGTGATACTTGGTATGTATACAGGAGAAAGGGGGGTGGGGGGTTTTTTAAAAGGATAAGTATTTACAGTGATCGGATGTACAGGGAAGGGGTTTTGGAGGTTTTGACATTTATCGGTTGTACCGGAGAGGAGAAGGGGGGTATGACAGTGATCGCATGTACGGAGAGGGATGTGGGGGGTTTTTAAAAGTGATCGGTGGGAAAAAGGAGAGGGTGTGGAGGGATGAAGTGGGTTGGGAGTTCCGGGAGGGGGAGTGGGGGGTTTTTTTGAAACGAAAAAGGGGGGGGGGGAAGGGGGGGTAAAAGGAAGGAGGGGGGGTTTCATTTCGATGTAAAGGGGAGGAGGTGGAAGGGATAAAAAGGGGTTTGGGAAAAAGGAAAGGAAATGGGGGTATGACAGTGATCGATGTTCCAAAGGGGA